AAAGAGAGAAAGATATACGTATTTTCTAAACTTAACTTTATCACCATCCAACTCACTCTATATATATGAATCACCACCATACCTATATATTACATATATGAAAAAGAAAAACATTTTGTTATACAGTACTTAGCTTTTGATTCGATTAGTTCATCACATTTGTTTTTTTTTGTCATAGTTCATCACAATTTAAAAGTAAGTTGTAGTTCATTAGTTTTGTTTGAATATGTAAGTTTGATTGATATAGTTTTAACAATTTTATAATTTAATAACAACATATATTATTGCTTTCTTGCAAGTACTTGTAATGAAATAAAAGTAGTGATTAAGATACCTCCATGTACTCCACTTTTTCCATTCCTTTGGAAATCAGTGTATAAGACGTCTTTGTCATACGGAAAATTCAAACATTGGGGATAAATGAAAGCTTATAATACATCTTCCACTGAAATTGGCTTCAAACTTTAAAAAGAGCAGGTATTGAATCAACCTAAGAAAATTGGACAACCAATATAAGTGCTTGGAGTAAAAAAATAGATGACAATAGTAATTATTTACCAAGTGAGGAAGAAGGATACAACAAATGCTATGTCACATTAGTCTCATAGATTGAAACTGATGCACATGATAAGCATTATTCAAGGTTTAAGTGCCAACACTGTTATTGCATTACTAGTACTTCTGCCAAAACCCAATATAGCAAAACCTATGATAACATGAATACTCTCAGTTAAAAGTGCAACATCATGACTTACTCTGGATCTTTTTTTTTAATTCTGAATGTCAAATTAGGATCCACAACTTTTGAATCATTGCCTTTATCCGTCAAAAGCTATTCATGTCGTGAGAGAGAGAGAGACACACAAATAAAACTATAGTTTTGAGTTAATCCACAGGTTTGTAAATGTGAAAAATTTAGTAGTCCAATTCCCCATTTGATGTAATCTGAAAGCACACATGCCTTAGTAGGTTTGCCAAAAAAAATATGTTTCTAAATTTAAAACTCAATTGAAAACACTATGATGATTTTGTCTATGGGATCAAATTTATTAGTAACTGGTGCATAAACTCTTTCAAAGGTTACCAAGGTAGAGACTGAAACAAACATATATCCAATTAGAAGTTACCTTTAGCTCAACTTGAGATTCATGCCGCAAACATTCGGAAGGAATCTATCAAATACTTTTTTATTTTGAATGAAGTTTAAAATCCTTGCCAGAATCATATATTCCATATATATCAAACTCTCAATTTGAGCAGAGAATCAACCTGATACATCAAAGCAGAACTCAGTAGATCAAATTGAGATACAACGACGACTATGAATCAAAATCCAAACTCCGATCCGAACATAGATATAATCAATCGATTTCGAATGAATCGACTATCAGAACTCGAATCTCACCGGAGTAGTTCTGATTCCGTCAGATCTCATCGGAGTAGATGCGACGATGCTTGATTTCAAAGACGGAGTCGCACACTCGCACTGTTTTCAATGTTCAAGAAAGCGCTAGGCGCTAAACGGACGGTGACCCAATGTCTAGTGCCTAGAACGCCTAACCGGAGCCTAGACGATTTAATAGGTGGTTTAAACGTTTTACAAAAATACATAATATATTAGATATATATAATAAAATATATAAAAAACCATAATTTATAACTAATAAAATCTATATTGTATTTATATTCATCATTTAATAGCTAAATATATAAAATTTTACGATTTATATATAAAAAAATTATAGTATTTTATTATACTAATACCATAATATTTTAGGCGGTAAAAGCGGTAATCGCCACGGTCTATAGGGGCCTAGCGCCTAAGCGCCGCCTAGACGAACGCCTAGAACGCTTTTTAGAACACTGACCGTTTTCAAAGAATCATTTTTTTTTAATTGTTTAACAAAATACAT